ACACGTTAAACGTTAAAGACAGAAAAGCCAGCAATGACAAATGTAACCTAGTCTACATGGCAACACAGCACCAGCTACCGTAAACTTAACTAAAAAATGAATGATTTGCGGACATATGTTTATATGGGCTTTTGTCCTGGTTTAGTGTGAGGGACCCGCCTCCAAATTTCTAAAAGTATTTTGATACGCACTGTGTGTATATATATATATATATATATATATATGCAAAGAGTGTATATATATATATATATATATATAAGGTATGTTATATTAAGTTAAAATAATCCATGTCATTGAGGTCAACAGTCAGCGGCAACCCTAAACGCAGTCATCAGGCCATGCATGTTTTGGCTCGACTAATTGTATATATTGGTAAATGGTTCATTATAGGTAGGTCTATTACATTATTCTAACGGTTATTGGGTGGATGGTAACCGTTATGTTTTAAATTATTCTAGAGGCTATTGAGTGGAAATAATTGTGGATCCGAATGCAGTTTTGTATCTATTTTATAGTGTTGTTTGTTAAAAATAGAATAATACAATAGACCTTCCCATAATGCACCACTGACCAGCATATATAAATAGTCGAGACAAAACACAACAGGCATGACCTGAAGATTGCGTTTAAGCAAGAAACAAACTGGGTCTTGACCTCAATGTCCACTTATATATATATATAAATAAAAATGCATATTTGTTTCGACGTCTAAAAACGTCTCGTCAGGCGGCTAACAATGAACGTCGAAACAAATATGTATTTTTGTCGCGGTAACTTGCATGTTCCAATAAAACAGTTTATAATAAATATTTATTGCTCTACACTTTGTATTGACCCCTGTTTTAAATTAGTGTTATGAACGTTTGAATTTATATTCTTTTCGTTCTTTTACATTTGTATATATATATATATATATATATATATATATATATATATATAGAGAGAGAGAGAGAGAGAGAGAGAGATAGATAGATTTATGGTAGGAATTCGACAAAATCATAGGATAAAGAACAAGTAGGACACATATCTCAATCTAAAAATTTTCACTTTATTAAAGCTTCGTCAGAGATCAAGATAGAGATGATAAAAAATGATAAAAAGCAAAGGGGCGCACATTAATGATATATTGTGTTTGGCTATTTCTTATTGGTTAGATACGTTTCACGTGTAATGAAGTAACAGATAATATTCAAATATGTGTGACAAACATTCCCGATGCTAAAATGTGTAAAAATTAGTAAGATGCACAAGGATGTTTTGATTGGATACGTGTCATGTGTAATGAAGTAACAGACAATATTCAAGTAAGTGTGAGAAGACATTGTGGATGCTAAAGTGTGAAAAGTGAGTATATTTATGTATTCGGAAGAATTAAGTTAGATTCATGAATAATGGATTTGTAAGAAAATGGTGATATAATGTAGTTTTTTTTAAACGTGTGTTATTAATTGGTAATATTGCTACAATTATATTTTCATAATATTTTCCTTTTTTAGGGTTATGTTCTATTTTTGATAAGGGTGGCATTGGTGAAATTAAAGTTATGTCTTACGTCGTTGCTGTGTAAGACGAGAGAATTTGAATGTTTATTTAAACGCAAATCTCTTAGATACAGGTCTTTAGATCGCGTGAAGTCTCCTTAATGGATATATAAAAAAAATTAGCGTTCATATTTAAAATTCACGTTAACTGCACAATTAAATGTGGAGGATAAGAGCAATTCATAATTATAATAATTATAAACTAGCCTGACGTTCCTTGAGCAGAAAGGTGAAACTTAAGTTTCTCAAGTATTTACATTTTTTTAATTTTTATGTATATATATTTTCTTAGCCTAATTATATAGTGGCAGCTACTGCCGGAAATAGTTGCATGTCTACCCTCTTACATCTATTTATATATAACTGATATCTATCTATCTATCTATCTATCTATCTATCTATCTAAAGTAACAGGATTGATTATAAAGTCACTACATGAAAGTGGATAATTACAATTCTTATTCCCAGCTGTTGCAGAAGTTTTATAGTTCAACAAGTTTATCCAGTGCCCTTGAAATCTATGCATGATTACGTTCCCAATTTATGCATGACTGATTCATGCTAACACGGTTTTTGAGCCCTTCCTACCGAGTTCGAGCCATAGCAAATGTTTTATAAACCTGTTTTCCTGCTGTACTTTGCTATCTCAACTAAATATCTGAAAACATTTTTTTAAACTTCAACCACTTTTAACAACATCTAAAGACGTTCGGAAATAACTGATAGAAACTTCATTAACTTTAAGAAGCACGTACAAATATGTCCCCCGCCATATCTCTAAATAATTTCTTACTTCAGGAAAAATGTCAAGATTTCTAATGAATAAACGATTCATCTTATCATAGTTCTCATATTTTCTCATATGTTTGTAAATTTGTCGAATGATTTTGGAAAGTAGCCCGTCGCTGTTTTCCCCCCACATTTCTGGTGGTTTTTCTGTGGGGCTAATATGAGACGACACCAGTATTCTCAGTCCGAGCCCAGTACCTTCGGCCATGATTACTTTCGGCTCGCGGTCTGGTTGTCGGCGATTCGTGATTTTCAATTGCCTGTAAATTGCCCACGGGACCTGGTTATCTGGACGCTGCTAAAAAGCGAGCGAAAGACAACGGCCTACCTGTTTCTAAAAGTCGGCGAGTGACACAAGTGATAATATGTAACTTTTGGCGAAATGAGTTGGAGAGCAGGACCGAATAAAGCGAGATCACATTGCCTCCGGGTCGCTTGTCACGCGGGAACGTGAAATAACGAGATCTGAGGCAAGATGGCCGCTTACCTTTACTGTGTGATGGACGGAAAATCCAATTGAAAAGCAGAACATACTGGAGTGGACATTACGTTTGTTATGTATGTGCATGGGGAGAGAAAGAAAAGCTAAAAAGAGGAAAAGATTAGAGTAAACAGTGAATGACAGAGAGTTTAAATGAAAAGAGAATAAGGTATGAATGAGAAAAAGTGAGAAAAGGGGAAAAAGGAAAGGGAAAAACACTCTCGCAAAATTAGAAATATTTCCTGGTATTGAATAAGTGAAAAGGACAGACGATGAGAAAATGCCGATCAGGATGTAGTGAATGAGCGAGTGTGAGAGAGATAGAGTAGAAGGGAAACCGAAAATAACAAAAGACGCGTGGAGGGAGACTCAGCGAGATAGAGGAAGAAAAACGTGATAGTTGTTGATATTATCAAATTTTAAAAGAAAGAAAAGACAGAAAAAAATAATAATAATACAAATGGAAAGAGAGAAAAACGAGAAAGAGAGAGGGACAGATAGAAAGTAGAAATAAAGTGAATATTTAGGGAACAGGCATTACTGCACGCGTGCGTACGCACACACAAACCCACACACACATACATAGAGGTAAACCATGAGAAAATTAGAGGTAAGATTATACGCAGGCTGATGCAGTGAGATAATTTAAATGTAAACGCTTTGATAGAAAAAGAGAGAAGAAAGAATGCGATGATTAGAAAGAAAAAAAAAACGAGATAATCCAGAGAGAATTTTAAAAAGTGAATTTATTACATATCGATAATTATATATAAAAAAAGAATGGGACGATTTGTAAGTTACTTAAATAAATATGGCATAAAATAATTCCTTTCTTTCTATCTATCTATCTATCTATCTATCTATCTATCTATCTATCTATCTGTACATTATCTATCTATCTATCTGTCTATCTCTATCTATCTATCTATCTATCTATCTATCTATCTATCTATCTATCTATCTGTACATTATCTATCTATCTATCTATCTATCTATCTATCTATCTATCTATCTATCTATTACAATGAAGTACACTCACTCGCACATCCCCCCACAAAAAAAAAACAAAAGAAAAAAACACGCACTGGCACACACTCGCCTACCGCACAGCGCATATAAAGTTAGAAGAAAATGAATATACAGCTTGTTTGTGAAAGAAATGGTTTAATTTAATGAATGCAAAATGAAGATAACTAAAATAAAAGAAGGAAATCATGACATGCATACATGCATGTGTGAGTTTAACAAAAGAGAGAAAGAGAGGAAGTCTGTTATAGATATTGTAAAGAAGTTAATGCCGAATTTGAGAGAAAGAGAAAGTAGAAAACAAGTTTATAAACAGTAGCTGTTCATCTTGGTAGAAATAGATGTTTAGGGAATGAAAATAAAGCATTCGTGAAAAATAAGGAAACGCTAGTAGATAATGGGAAAGATGTATTCGAGATAGATAGATAGATAGATAGATAGATAAATAATGTATATAATTAGATTGACAGATAATGTACATAGATAGTTATAACCTACATAATTAGATAAAGAGATGGATAGACAATGTAAATAATTAGATAGATAGATAGAATGATAGCTAGTGTCCATAGATAGATAGATAGATAGATAGATAGATAGATAATAAACATAATTAGAAATGGATAGATCATGTACATAATTAGATATATAATAGATAATATACATAATTATATTGATAGATAATCTACATAATGTACATAATTAGATAGATATGATGGATAGACATAATTAGATATATAATGTCCATAATTAGACAGATTGATAATGTAAAAAATTAGATAATATACATAATTCGATAGAGAGGTAGATAATGTACATAATTATATATATATATATATATATATATATATATATATATATATATATATAATTTACACAAATGAATAGGGAGATAGATACATAATGTACATAATTAGATAGATAGATAGATAGATAGATAGATAGATAGATAGATGGATGATGTACATAATTAGATAGATTGATAATTTACATAGATAACGTACATAATTAGATAGATAGATAATGGAAATAATTATATAATGTACACACATGTTGTACATAATTAGATAGATAAATAGATAATATACATTGATAGATAGATAATGTAAATAATTAGATAGATATATAATGTACATAATTATATAGAAAGATAATGAACAGAATTATATAAACACATATAAACCGAAGTAGATAGACAGGTAGATAGATAAAAAATTACAGAATATGAACAACAAGAATATTGATGAGAGAGAGGAAATAGGGAGAGAAAGAAAGAAAGAAAGAGAGAGAGAGAGAGAGAGAGAGAGAGAGAGAGGAGGAGAGAAAGTAAAAAAATTATTTGAGTGAGATGCTTGCAATAGCCTTATTGAGATTGCTAGATATAATGAAAGAGAAAGGCATGACCAGGAAGAGAGAGTGGGTTTGTGGTTTGATGGAATGCATGTTAGGTATACAGACTGCAAGGTAACTGGCGAGAGAGAAAGAGATAGATAGATAGATAGATAGATAGATAGAGAGAGAGAGAGAGAGAGAGAGGGAGGAAAAGGGGGAAAGATGTTGGTAGATGAGTAAAGATGATAAATAAGAAGCGGGAGAGGGGGAGAGATTGAAGAGAATGAGCTAGTAAGTTATAGGAAAATTAAAATAGAGAGGATGAAAGAATGAAGTCAAAATAAAAATTGAAAGAGATAAAATAGAGAGAAAGAGAGAGAACAGGGAGAAGTATTGAAAATGGAAAAAGAATAAGCGAAATGACGAATGATCTTATTCAGTGAACTGATACATTGATAGATAAATAAATTTGGACAAATAATGCCAATAGGTCAAAGTTTCCTTCAACCGGGTTCCTTAATAAACAAATCCACTACTTAATAAAATAACACCTGAACAATGTTAGAGGCAAAAGACAGTGCCAACTCGGTAGTTGTCTATATCTCTGAGATGTCGTATTATGATTAGTTGCATTATTTCCATTACTCGGACTGTTATCTTCATCTTCATTGCCATATTCACAACGTGGCCCAGTTAGATCCAGTGACTAGACCCAAAGAGTTGTGAGTTCAATACCAGGCTACAGCAGTGGTGAACCAAAAAACTGGAGAGTTGAGTTAAAGGGAAATAACTGAGACATCTGGAAAAGGCATGACACGTGGAACTAGAACAATCTACCCCGGTGGACGAAATAAAGGGTTCCATTCGAAATTCCAATCTCCTGAAGAAGGCCGGGGCGTACAACGGCCGAAACGTTGTGAATATGGCAATGAAGATGAGGATAACAGTCCGAGTAACGTAAATAATGCAAATCGATAGTATTAAGCACTTACTCATTCGGGCTGGACACATGTTTTGCTCGTACAAACAAATACACAAGGTCCGATCAAAAAGTATCGGTACTGGTACTATAAAAAGAAAGCTGCAACACAGTTCGGTAATATTCCTTCAAAGTAGTCCGATTTTGAAGCCACATACTTTATCTAGTATCGTTTCCATTGATAGAGGCATTCCTGGAATTCCTTTTTTTGGGACAGCGAGAAGCTGCTCCGTCGCATTTTCTTGGGTGTCCTTGACGTCTTGAAATAGTGTTCCTTTCAAGTGTGATTTGATTTTTGAAGAGAAAAAAGTCGCAAGAGGCGTGATTTGGGGAATATGTTAGTTGTCGGATCTGGAGAATGTTGTTCTTGGCCCAGAACTGCTGCACAAACCATGGTCATTGATGGAACCTCTGTGGTGTGGTGAAACGACCACACTCTACACATTTTCCTTCCGATCACTGCTATAAACAAAGGAAGTGAGCGACAACGTTATAACTTAGTGTGTATGCGTGACAGATGTATAAACTCTTTTAGGATAGTGTGATCCGGTCTGAATTTAGAGTTTCCCTCTCATAGACTGGTTGTCACCTAAGGCTATAAGACCTAGTCTGTCCTGTTACTTTACCCATAGCTGGCGATAGATGAGACGAATTTATACCTTTCACAAGAGTATTAGCACATAAGTGAATGTAATGAATTCAACTGGAATTCGAACTCCGCTCTCTGATTCTTCAATCCGAATCGTTAACCATCTTGCTTCCATGGAAAAGCATGGAAAAACAAAAGTACAGAGCGTTAATGATAATGACAATATTAGCCGTTTTCTCATAAGGAAACATTTGCCATTCACTGACCGCGCAGCCAGTACCACTGTCGGTTGAAATTTATAAAATCTTTCTGTTAAAACAATATTTTAGAAAAATATGTTTTTAAAGTGTATTAGCTATTATCGCAATTTCCAGTACTGATGGGGGTTTCCTTTCTAACCTTTTGTTTGAAGTTGTGTGGAAAGTCAATATTTTGATTATGTCATTATTTTTTCTTTGAGTTACACTAATGGCAAAAAGTTTGAGCCCACCATGAATTTCTTTTAAAAAACACCTTAAAATGAGATAATTTTGTAGTATTTTTAAGTAAAAGATAAAATTTCAATAACTACAGTGTATTTGCTTTTATTTTTCAGTCGTTTTCTAGGCTACTCTTATTATCAAAAAGTTTAAATTGGATTCGTCTGTCTACAATATATTTTGCTAAATTGTGAATATTTTGTATGAGAAACATTATATTTTGTTTTTACCAAATACCTTAGTAAACTTTTTGAGAAATTTTAAACTCAACACTGACTAATGTTGTAAACAAAACGTATGTAGCTGCCTCTGAAGAAAAAAATTGCACCGTTACGACAGTATTTTCATTGTCTTTTTATTAATTAATTTTTTTAAATTTTGAAGTAATTTGCACAAAACGGCAAAATCAAAGCAACTAAGAGTTGAGGTGAGGGCACAACTTGAAATTTTATTTAAAGTATGCTACTCTCAAAAACAAATTGCCAAGAACATGGACATGGGTGACAATAGTCATTAAAAGGGCAGTTAGAAACTGGTATAAATATTAAGAGAAAAAAGCTGGAACACCAAATGTGACAACTTCCGCTGAAGATAAACACTTTATTTTTGAGAGCAAAAGAAATAGAAGGAAAACTGCTCCAGAGTTGACAGCTGAAGTTAACTTCTTTCGGCAGCATCAACTTTAGTTTCCCGCTAAATGCGTTAATTGCATCCTTGCCGGAAAACAGGGTTGAGTCATTACTTTGGAACTCTTTGTTCGGGACATTTAGCTTTTCAAAACTGAAAGACAAGTTGGTGAAAACATACTTGATTTAAACTTTAAATTATGAGTTTTAAATTTTAAGAAATTGAAAACTAAAAACGGCCATTTTTCATAGATCAAATGAAAAATGAATAAATATTTATGCGAACAAAATGGCTTAGATTAATTTAATATTTAACTTAATAATAAATTTAATATTTTATTTTAAATAATAATTATTAATTACAAAATACACCATATATATATTTTGTGGGTCTTAAATTTTATGTGCCTCCCCATTTTTTAAACTTGGCCTTGTGGGCCTAAAAAATCTCATCCCCTCCCCACAAAACTAAACAAATAAGATAACCAACTCCGAAAAAAATAAACAAAAATCTAAATAAATAAACAGAAAAATAAACAATAAGTAAACAAGCTACGAATGCACAATGTAATAATAATAATAATAATAATAATCAACAACAAATAATTGAGTAATCAATAAATAATAATGAGTAAAATGTTAAAAACAACATTATAAAATAACAATCATTAACTGCATTCGGATCCACAATTATTTGTGCTAAATAGCTTCTAGAATAATTTGAAACATATCCATTATGGCCCACTCAATAACCATTAGGATAATACAATAGAGCTTACTAGCCATAATGCACCATTGACTAGCATATATAAATAATCGAGTTTAATTCCCTACTCAACGATGCCGACACATACGAAAAAATAAACGAACAAAATATAACTACTGAAACACAAAAATTCAACGAGGAAATCAGGAAACTAATTAAAAATGAAAACCAATCGTGATATAGACTCATAAAATATCACCCTAGAACACCAAAACTTTACAGTCTCCATAAGATCCACAAAAGTGACATCCCTATGTTCTCCATCATTTCAGGAATAGGCAGCGCCCCACATCCTCAAATAGCTAGAGCCATGGCAAAAATGTTAACCCCTCTCCTTGAAACAATAAGTCCATCCCATATAAAAAAATTCAGGCAACTTTGTTAAAAAAACTAAGGAAAAATATATGACTGACAAACTCATGGCCAGACTAGATATAAAATCACTTTACACTATTATCCAGGTTGAAAAATGCTTAAATCTCTTAAAAATGCATCAAACAAAATCAAAGATAAATCTCCCCCCCTACGAATAGATAAAATAATAAAAATCTGTCGTCTCATCACCAATCAATGCTATTTCATATTTAATAACAATTCTTACAAATAAACATTTGGATTACCAATGGGATCACCTCTCAGTCATGGCATGTATCATACTTCCGATATATAAATGATGCTCTATTAATATATCCCCGTGATACTAACTTACCGGGTTTTGTAGAAAAACAAAACAAAGTCGAACACGATAGAATTTACATACTAAATAGAAAAAAAGCAATACTTTACCGTTCTTAGCCATCATGTTACACCGAGTGACAACTTAGTGTCCACCGAATAAAAATAACTTAACAAACTTCTATTCCCATCATAACAACAAAATAAATCCGGAAGGATCATTGGATTCTATTTAAAAGCACTCGGAATTTTCAGCCCTCATTATTTACAGGAAGAGGAGAAATATATTGAAAATACTTCCAAGACCCTTTAATACTCTATTTCAATTTCTATTTTTTAATCAATAAAAAACAAAATAACAAGCCAAAAATTGAAGGAAGAATTTACTTTATCAGAAAGAATATATTGGAAAAACCTCAAGAAGTTTAAACAAAAAACTAAATGAACACAAAAGGGACATTAAAAACACACACACACACACACACACACACACACACACACACACACACACACAAACAAACAAACAAACAAACACACACACACAAAACGTATTGATTGTTCACCGTAATGAAATTGCCCACAATTTTGACATAGGGAATTCTACTTTGATTAAAATAAAAAAATAATTCACTAAGACGAAAGTGCCTTGATCGCTGGTTCAGCTACGGTAAATTTGCGTCCAGGCTTATACAATATATAAGCAGATATTCTATTGTCACAGTGTGGGATAATCAGGGACAAAGTTGATGGAAAGAAAAAGAAAAACAATATAGATGAATAAAGCGTCCCTCATTTCATACGCATGTGTAGTCGTGGCAACACAAACAAAAGCCCAGTCCGATGAAGTCCTAACGGATGAAACGCGTCACAAAAACTTTTTTCTAATTTGTCATACTGTTTTCTCAATATTGTTTCTTGATATATAAAATTACATATCCTTATGTCCTATATATATATATATATATATATATATATATGTGTGTGTGTGTGTGTGTGTGTGTGTGTGTGTGTGAGAGAGAGATCGAAAGAGAGGGTGAAGGAGAGTAAGTCAAAATGTGTACGTACTGTTTACATCCGTTTTGCATCAGTGCCTTCACTTGCTCGTTGAAAAAACAGCATAGCATGATGAAAAAAGTCCCAGGCTTAATAAAAACAAAGTTTTATCATCAAAATG